CTCGCTGTCCTAGAGTAAATCTTTCTACTGGCGAAAATTATTTAATGATTATAAATCGATTAACTAATTTTTATATTCTCAGTTCCAACATTTTATTGCCAATTTTTACTTATTTATTTATTTAGCCAGCGATGCTTCTTATATTTTATCTGCAATTCTAGCTCAAATTTGCGATATTATCTAATCTCGAAGTTTTGTAAATATACATTTATAAATATATACCATAAAATGACAAATCGCTCTGCGTATTATTGCTTCGATAAATCGCGCCATCAAGATACTTTTTTATCTCGCTGTTGTAGAAGTAAATTTGTTTGCAGACAAAAATTATAATAATTATAAACCGATTAATTTTTATACTCTCAGTCGTTGCATTTTATTGCCAATTTTTACTTATTTATTTATTTAGCTAGCGATGCTTTTTATATTTTATATGCGATTCTAGTGTTTGAATTTGCGATATTATTTGATGATAAGTTTCGTAAATATAGGAACGATATATTTAATTCGACTCAAACTAGCCAAGAAAATTTTTATTTTATTTCCACAACGTTTCGACCATCTGTTTTACTTTCTTTCAAAAGTTCTTTCAAATGTTTTAAAAAAAAGTCCGATAATCATATTGTTTAATAATCATGACAACAGTGTCAACTAACTGCGCTTTTATCAAGGAAGTATGTAAAAAATTTTTAATTCTTGCGTTTAACATCAAAAATGTTTATTAATTTTAATTAATTGTACCATTCTAGTTTTTCACTTGAAAAAGATCAAAAACAGATGGTCGAAACGTTGTGGAAATCAAATAAAAATTTTCTTGGCTAGTCTGGGTCGAATTAAATACATCGTCCCTATTTTAAATACCACTAGCGACGTTTTAAATATTCAATTTGATTTCGTAAATATATATTTATAAAAACCTAAAGTTCAGACTTATGTTTTAGCACAAGAATTGAGTGTGCAGAAGCTTCCCGATTGTCTAATACACGCGCTGCAATTGACGCTAATTGTAATGCGAATCTGAACAAATATAATGAAGTGCTAGATCACTGCAAAAATATCCATAATTTTCTCCGTTCGTTAACGCTCCAATTGTAAACCGCAAACCGGTTCGACCCGCAAGTTCCACATAATAGCAGTTACGTTTTCCGAGTTCTAACAATCCTTAATTACACCTCTCTCGATTCTATCCGTCTTATTTGGAGTGTCATGTATTTTTTGATTCGTTCTCGTCGAACTCGAGAAATTAGCAAGTTCGGGGGCTGACCAAGGGCAGGAAATTTCCGACTCGTGGCGGTGAAAATTTCAGCCTGCCGAATTAAGGGTCTAATTGTAAAGGCGACATGTGTGCGCGAGAAAGAGGGAGGCAGAGCAGCCCTGGGGGGTGGCGGCGAAAAGTTGGGGCGCGATAGAAGCGCACAGGTCGGCCGGAGAGAGAGAGGTGAGAAGGTGGCTGGGGGTGAAGGTAGCAATTAACTTCTCCTCGCGAGATTAGAGCGAGATATTACGAGATATCGAGCGACTTAACGGCAACACGCGAGAGACTTCAAAGGCAGTAATAAACTGCCTCTAATGAACCCCTTATCGCCGGTGCCGCCGTCCTCCCCCTTCAACCCCCTCTCTCTCTCTCTCTCTCTTCGCCGACTCTTGCCCTCTTCTTCGTTTCCCTCAGCACCTCCGGCGACCTACCGTCTACGTACGTGCCGCCCTCAATGCGATGCGGGCTGAATCGAGCGCGGAAAATACGTCGTGTTCTCTTTTGCGCGAATGCGATTGACAGTCTCTCTCTCTCTCTGCTTCTGTTATAATCCTTGCTGTTATTACTGTTGCTTTCGTCGCTCTAATGTTGCACCATTGTTGTTTGTATGAATGAAATATATGGTTCATTGTAACGTTATATCATCATTTGCTATTTTCTTCCCTCCGCTTAAACTGTTCTCTCTGGATCCCTCCTTGAATGGAAAAATCCATCATAATTTTTTAAGTACATATTAATTTTTCAAACCGAGAGCTATTACACGTGGTATTAATCTCTGCAATGTGGTGCAATTATCGGCGATTATTAATCATCCCACTATCGCGTCGCCAAACTTGGGACTGGGATGAAATTGGTGTCCGATTCGATCGCAAAATTATGAAAACATCGTCCGTTCCGGTGAGAAAAAGCGAATCGCGAAGACAGTCTTCCCGTTCGTCCTCGGCTCGTCGCCGTCGCTCGTCGCGGCACCAGCTCTCGGCATGGCGCGTCGCCGAGCTCCGTCAAGCCCAATCATGTTGATTCAACAAAGTACCTACCTACCAAATTGCTGGAATTTGGTATTCGGCCAGAAAGATGGAGGGAGAAGGAGCCAGCGGAGCAAGCTAGAGAGCTGGAAGCCGTCTGATTGCACATCTAGGACAAACCAGCATCACGACGACGTCGCTCCAGCGGAAAGCCGAGCGATGATTGGCCGCATTCTCTCTCTCCCTCTCTGTTATTCCCCTTTTCCTCGATCCCTTCAACCCCTCGTCCGTACGCCCGAAACCCGATGGCGTCGGGGGTTGGGGGTGATTGGACGCATCTCGGTGATTGTGGCACCCACTATCCACCCCTCTGCACTCTATCCTTCTCTCTCTCTCTTTCTCTCCTTCCGCTCCATCCTGGTCCACCGCGCCATCCCTCCTACACGGCTGTAAATCGAGTTTACCCTCTTGCCGTGGCTCAGCCCTTCAATCAAACTGATTGAAACATTCCTTGAATCCAAAAGAAACGAACCGCCATCCCTTCTATCTCGCCTCTCCTCAACCTCCCCGCTATCTTTCCGAGTCGCACCGCGCGCGCTATTCTCTCTCCGTCCATCTGTCTATCCGCGTACACCGAGATATATCCGTCGTTCTCTTTTCGACGCACGAGAACCCCGATGGTGTTTCGAGACAACCGGTTGGTTTCAATTCCGACAGTAGTTTGATTGTAAAGCTGCGCGGGGGTATAAAGCGCTTAGCGTGATATGATGTACTGAATGTTCCGCAAGAGCGTGCCATTGTTGCCTCAAGCGAGGATCATAAGCGAGTCCGATGCACGCGTATATGCATCCGTCCTCTGAAATGCCGATTTGTCAATTTATCCTGTCTGTTAATTGTTTTTCTTTTTTTTCAGGAATATAAAAGCGAAGGTACCTTAATGCGTCTTTTGTAACCATCGATTTTTCGTTATCCTTGAACTCCTTCAATTTACCCACCTATCCTTCATATCTCTCTGACGCAATTAATAATACTTTTTCCATCTCCGGTTTCTTTCTTTTTTTTTGTTTAATTGGTTTCCAAGGAATATAAACTCTCGAAAAAGAGTCTATTGCGTCTGATTTTTTGACGAGAGGAAGAAAGCAAACCAAGGTGGGCATCAGGACGGACGATGTTAGTACCCATCCCGAGGAGACGGAGGCGTCTCGTAGTCAAATATTGATACTAGGCCGGACTAAATCGCTCGCCTATGCCAACAGATTAGAACGTACGTGTGCTATGGTCGAGTAATAGCAATTGCGCGATAAGGAAAGGGCCGGTGAGATTGAAGTACTAATGTTAGCCTAGCGATCGACGTGATCGATCACAAAACTACCTGTTCACGTCTATATCGATGTGCACGCCTTCCCTCCCAGCTCTTCTAGCCTTCCTTACACTCTCATGTTACATAATAATGTGTTTTTTTTTTTTAGTCGCGATATATTATTATTGTCATTCTTATTACGCAACGTATAAACACCCAGTTGGAGAAACGTGTTCAACTGCAACTGTAAAATGCAAGAAATGTCGCGCATATAACCGGTTGATGGGCAAAGACGACAAAATGAAAAAAAGACTGACAGTTCCATTACCTCCGGTACGTGCGGCCCGGCCAGGTTGCGCCGATCTATTTCGAGGGGACTAACTAAGTTCAGCGTCTGTTTCTCATTAAATTGCGCTCTGACCTCGAATCCTCTAAATTTGGAACGACCACGCCGATTAGGTGCATATTCATCGCCCGGCGCCGCAATGCCAAAGTTTTCAGCCAATTCATCGATAAACGATCGGCGAGAGATATGCGCGCGTTGTGTCAAGTGTAATAGCCGTCATAATTGCCGAACAAAGCGCAAGTGTTCTAAAATATACGTATATGTACTAAAATATCTCGTTCTATTCCCGACGATATATTTTATTGAATTCCCTTTATTCGAGGCACATCTATCTCTCTTATCGTGTATTCCAAATATATTTTCTCTACTGTTTCTCCGAACTTTAGAATTTCCGCCTATCTGAATGATATAAAATCTCGAGATATATATTTTAATCTCTTCGAGTTTTTTTTTTGTATAGATCTCAGCTTCTCCACATATTGCTCGACATATTTGCGAGCAATAATCGGTCGAGACTGTATCAAGAGGGAAAAAAACGAGGCAAATATGATTACAAGATATGACGTAAAACAGCAACATCCTAGTCCGCGGCTATTTTGCACGAGAGGAATGTTGATTGCACGATATTGGCTCCCAGGAATCCCGGCGCGGTATAAACGAACGCGCGGCAAGTACTACGATAAATTAGTTGTAATGGCCCGGCACAATAACAGTATTTATTATTAATAACGAAGCGCTGGGCGTGCGCGTCGTTCTTAGCCTGAAGAAATTAGACAGCGAAGTAGAATCGAGCGGAGTATATTCGATTCTCCCCGATTCGTGCGCGCGCGACGTAATACCTAATTTAATGGAAGCGATAATTTCTAGCTTATTCATGAGTGACCATCGTTATCGGCTCTCTTCGAACGCGATAAACGGCGATACGCCGAAGGAGGGCTTGCGTGTTCCGGTGTTTACGTACATCGTCGCCTAAATATCGCTTCTTTTTATGCATACAGTCTCGAAAGAGAATTTTCGTTCCCGCTTTATTCAAAACCTTCCACGATTTCTCTCCTCTATTTGTTCCCCACGACGGTATACGTTTAACCCAAAACACGAGGCGCAAATATACGAACGTACAGGTTGATCACTTACCGCGTGTAGTCTGTCTTGCAGAGAATCATGCCGCTTTTGGTGTAGCAGGTCCCGCCGACATCCCCCAATATCACTTGGCAATACGTGCACTTGAGGCAGCCGATGTGCCAGTACTGATCCATCGCGAACAACAGGTATCTTTCCACTATTTGTACACCGCAGCCGGCGCAAAGCCGAAGGCCTGTTGGCCTGCTTGGACCGCCCTCTTGCTGTAATGTCACGTTTTCGTTTCGTTAGGCAAGTGCACAGAAAAAAACAGTATCCTTGAAAGAATGCAAATATGCCTTGATTCAAGTATATTTTATCCTTATAATAGCGCCAAATATAAATAATTTTGGATAAAGGATAATTTATCCTTATAAAACAAAGTGCAAAATATTCTTGATTGAAGCTGAAATTTACTTATAAATATTGCAAGGACAAGTGACAAGTGAACATCGGATATAAGCGATACTTTCAAGTATATATAATAATTCTCAGTTCAAATGTGACTAAATTTGTTTTTACCATATGCGATTTTTAAAACAAGAATATATCTTAAGGATCAAATATACTTCACACAAACTTATTTATTGTTAAGGCAAATAAAAATTTTTGATTATAAAGAGCATTCTATGGTTAAATCAATCAAACAGCGTTCAAGAATAAAAATATATTTGAATCAAGGATTCTTTTTTGTGTGTGTGTATAACGCTGAATTTATACGCTAGACTAGATTAGAGGATCTTTTAATCGGAATCTGAACGTAAGTAAGTTGAGTTAGATTGTTCAACATTTTTCTTCAAAATCCTGAGAGAGAAACATGTGCTACTTCCTCCTCTCTTAGTTAATGTCTCGTAACCTCTTATTTATACTGCGCGTATGAGTGTAAAGTAATGAATAATGGTTGGATGTGCGGTGGAATTTTGCAATAATTCCTCGTCAAAGGGATATATTATGAAAATATAAATTTCCACGCTTTTTGAAAATATTTAATAATTTATTGTGTTTGAAAGCAATAGAAGTTGCATAAAACTGACGCGAATTAAAGAACAATGGCGGCAATCAGAGGTTCCTCTTATTAGAGAGTTTCTAGACTGATTTAAAATAAATTATAATTAAAATCAAAATAAATCAAAAAGGCTCATATATAGAAATTCAGGTAGAGTATAGAGAAATTAAAAAATAATTTTCTTGTACTTAACATTTGTGACTCGTTTTTATCAGTCTTTTTCTTTACATCTGAATTTGTAATTAAAATTGAATAAAGTTAAATAAATAGCGTTCATCTTCTCTTAAAATGACGAAAAAAATAATCGCATAATAAATCGAAAAGGCTCTAATATAAATAGAAATTCACGTATAAAAAGATCTAACAAGAGCCAGGAAATTTAATTCAAGTATAGAGAAATTAAAAAATAATTTTGTTGCAGCTAATATCTGTGTCTAGCCTTTATCAGCCTTTTTCATACCTGAATTTGTAATTAAAATTAAATCAAATCAAATAAATAACGTTCATCTTTTCTTGAGACGGCGAAAAAAAAGATCGCATAATAAATTAAAAAAAAAAAAAAAAAAACACTAATATATAAATACAAATTCATATATAAAGAGATCTAATAAGAGCTAGGAAACTTACTTTCAGTAAATAATTTTGTTGCGCCTAATATCTGGCTCTTATCAGCCTTTTTCATATCTAAATTTTTATGAAAATTAATTAAAATTAAATCAATATTGTACATCTGTTAACGCAGCAAAAAAAAAAAAATGACCGATTATGAAATTGAAACACGATGTTTACGATAGAAACGCGTCTGATAAGAAGTAATTTTTCTTTTTTCAAGAAGGCGCGTACGCGAAGAGTGAGTTGCAACACGCGCGTCTTAGAAATCATTCCTACCCCGTTATAAGTAGAAATTCAGGCATCGCGGTAATTAATGCGAAACAGAAAGTCATTAACGGGCACTAAATCATTACGACGTCTTAAGTGCGCGCTTATTATGAATGCTTACTCGTGATTATGCAAACACACGAACGTAGGCGAACGTAACTCTTCACTCGCGGGATTTACAACTCACTCACTAATTTCACTTTGAACAATGTTGCTCAATATTGTATTATTATTGCCACAGTTTATCATTAAATCGGCAAAACACAACTGTGCACCAGGCACACGTATATATATATATATATTGTACATATATATTTGGCAATTTCTCCTCATTTACATTTATAAATAAAAAGAAAACTCGGAGAGAGAATATAATAAAGAAAAATCTGTAGCAACGTGTGCGTGAAAATGATTGTTACGTTTGTATTATTTATAAACGCGTTGAAAAAAAAAAGAAAAATAATTCTTGAAAAAGACTTGTATATATCGTTCGTGAACTTAATATTAGCCTATTTTTATACTCTTATTAAGAGCTTGAAAAGTCCATTAATTATATATACAGCACTAAAATAAACAAATATTTCATCATACCTGCATTTATAATGATACGACGCAATTGCATACATTTCACGTTTATCGATATATATTAATATTTAACAATCCCTCATAATACGAAATGACTTTCAAATAATAATGTTTGCATGTCATGCAGTTACGCGATTAGTCGGATAATCACACAGCCATATTCATTCGACTTACATGTGTCGCATTAATTATCGCGCATGAAAACAAAATGCTTACTTTGATTTCCGTCTTGATATTAGTGGGAAACCACTTATCCATCCGCGAAATTGTGTTATAGTGATATTGTGGGTATTGAATCTCCATGATGCACACACTCGCTCTGTGTCTCTCGCAATATAAAGAAAAAAAAGACTGAAAAATCTGTAGGATTCACTCGGCCTCGAACAACAAGTTCCCGTTGCGGTGCACACACACACACACACACACACACACACTCACTCACTCACTTTCCCCCCACAGGCGATCGACGAGAGATTTCGAGGATCGGGATGAATTTTCGTTCGGGGACTCGCCCGATGACGAGGCTCGTCGAAAAATCCTTTACGAAACTCGCCGCTTTCGGCGACTCTTGCGCTCTCTTGCGCGATGTGCAGTCATGGACGCGCGCGCAAAAAGGAAACGAGAAAGAGAGAGAGAGAGAGAGAGAGCGAAACGGAACGGAACGAAACGAAGCGCAGCGCAGACAGGACCCAACTGGCTGGTGCTGCGGGCCCCCGAATGCCTTGCGGGTCCGCGGGTTCAGGTACCTTGGCTCGGAGTGGGGAGGATAAAAAGGCAAGCCTAGAAAGGACCCAACCAACGTGGAGAGGGAATGCCAGATAAAGATGGTGAGAGGGAACGAAGGGGCGAGAGGGAGGGGAGTTGAGTGGAGGGGAGGTGAACGGAGGCCCGCTTAGTGTGTGTTGTGTGAGAGAGAGAGAGAGAGAGAGAGAGAGAGAGAGAGAGAGAAGACTCTGCTGGGAAGGGGAGAGAAAGAGGAAGGGAGTCTTTTCCATAGTCAGCGGTTGAGAGAAAAAGAGAATGGAAAAGAGACAAGGAGAGGTGGTGGAGGTGTAAGAGGGGTGTATTCTGGGACAGGCTCCCTAAGTGCCGTGAGTCTTACAAAGTTGTATAAAGCGAAAGTTAAGGCAGATTTTAGGGTACAAGCTGGGTGTTGCGACGATTTACAGAATTAAAAATTAAGCGCGAGCAAAATTTAAAACAGATGTAGAAAAAGAATATAAAAAATGAGAATAATTCAAAAGTCGAAAGAGACGTTAAATCGGAGGAGTAGAAAAACAAAGAAATGTGAATCGGACACGGAAAGTTAAGGCAGATTTTAGGGTACAATCTGGGTGTTGCGATAATTTAAAAAATCGAAATTAAGCGCGAGCAAAATTTAAAAAGATGTAGAAAAAGAATATAAAAAATGAGAAAGATTCAAAAGTCGAAAGAGACGTTAAATCGGAGGAGTAGAAAAACAAAGAAATGTGAATCGGACACGGAAAGTTAAGGCAGATTTTAGGGTACAATCTGGGTGTTGCGATAATTTAAAAAATCGAAATTAAGCGCGAGCAAAATTTAAAACAGATGTAGAAAAAGAATATAAAAAATGAGAAAGATTCAAAAGTCGAAAGAGACGTTAAATCGGAGGAGTAGAAAAACAAAGAAATGTGAATCGGACACGGAAAGTTAAGGCAGATTTTAGGGTACAATCTGGGTGTTGCGATAATTTAAAAAATCGAAATTAAGCGCGAGCAAAATTTAAAAAGATGTAGAAAAAGAATATAAAAAATGAGAAAGATTCAAAAGTCGAAAGAGACGTTAAATCGGAGGAGTAGAAAAACAAAGAAATGTGAATCGGACACGGAAAGTTAAGGCAGATTTTAGGGTACAATCTGGGTGTTGCGATAATTTAAAAAATCGAAATTAAGCGCGAGCAAAATTTAAACAGATGTAGAAAAAGAATATAAAAAATGAGAAAGATTCAAAAGTCGAAAGAGACGTTAAATCGGAGGAGTAGAAAAACAAAGAAATGTGAATCGGAAACGGAAAGTTAAGGTAGATTTTAGAGTACAATTGCAAAATTAAAAATTAAGCGCAAGCAAAATTTAAAAAAGATGTAAAAAAAAATAATAAAAAAATGAGAAAGAAAGACAGAAAGATTCAAAATTCGGAGGAGTAGAAAAACAAAAAGATGTGAATCGGAAACGATAAAGAAATAGTCATCAGGAAAGAAAAAGGAATACAAGAGAGCTAGAATGTAAGGGTCTACAGAAAATAAAAATAGAGATACAAAGAAGTTCCGGTCAATAGAATGACAATAGGAAAGAAATAACAGATAAGAAAAATTCAGTAATAAAAAAACAGAAAGCGAAACAAAATGCAAAAAACTGAAACAGAATACAATAAGGAAGATGCGATAACAAGTGAATGGGAAAAAATTTAAACATTAAACAAAGATACATTATTAAAAAATTCAAATTGATTATTCTTCAATACATATTTTCCGAATTAAAACAAATTAGAGAATCAAAATATCTGTAAAACTAAAAAAAAAATAATAATACTAATAGTGTCTGGATACAAATTTAAAAATTTGAAATAGTTGTAAAGTTTTATAAATCGATAATTTTGTGAAAAAGTAAAAAAATAATTTTGAATCCTGCGAAATAGATTTAATGTTATTTTTTGATTCACATATTTTAAATGTGTAAAAAAACTACAATTATAGTTGACAAAATAGAATCTTATGATTTAGTTTTTTTTTTGCAAAAAGAGATACATTATAAGTCCTTAAATAATAAATATCAAACTTATGTGTTATATTTAAACAATTAATAAACAAAATCAATGGTATAATCAGACGAAAATATTTAATAAACGAAAGAAATAGTCAGGCTAACTATAACTAATCGACGCAAAATTAAAAAGAAGAAAGAAACGAATACTAAAAACTAGTTCACAAAGTAGATCAACAGATGTACACATTTTTGGACATTTAAGTAGAAACCGGAAGAGAGAGTACAGTCAGCACAGAAATACGAGTAAAGAATAAAAGTTGAAGAAGCAGCGTACAGTCAAAAGGAAAAGGTAGGATCTCGTGTGGGGAAACGAAAGAAAAAGAAAAGAGAAGAGAGAGAAAAAAGAAAAAAAGAAAGAAAGAGGAAGAGCAGATATAAAGCATCAAGCAGAAAGCTGCAAGAGGAAACCGACTCCCCTCCGCCCCTATTCAATTATATTTCTTCATCATAAATGCCTATATTGTTACGTTTGTCAATAGCGGGGTAAGCGAGGGTCGGACGGACGTATAATATCTGACTGAATTGTAGCCTGTGATCCTACGTTGTGCCATTCCTGGGTCCTTTGCGAAGGGCCTTGCCTCGGGGACCTCTTTGAAACTACCTACCATATATCGTTTCGAGGAACCAAATTTCCCAATATAACGCGTATACACAACATACAGAATATTTCGCGACATTTCAAACGACGATTTGCTTTTCGCAAGTTCGTAAAAAAAAAAAAAAGTGGCACTCACCTTGAGAGTGCAGTTGTTATTGTGGTTGACCGGTGGATACGCGGGGTGTCCGGGCATGTGCGGATGGGGGTGTCCCGGATGATGCGGATGATCCGGCATCATACCGCCACCGCCGCCGTGGTGATGCCCGTTGCTGCCCATGCCCTGTCCGGGCTGCAAGACGCCATAGGGAGTGGCGGGATCGCCGGCGCCGCCGGCGTGCGGTGGCGAGTGCGGGCTGGGTAGGTCGGGGGTGGTGGTGGTGCCGCCGCCACCGGCCCCGCCGCCTCTACCCCCGGTACCGTACGCGTGATGCGGCCCGCCGGGCCCCGGATGATGCGGACTGCTCGAGAGCGAGGGATGGTGAGGGTAGGCTGCGGAGTGGCCCGGATGGTGGGGGTTCATGCCAGCGGTTAACGCGCTCGCCAGTTTGACCGATGAGAGGGTGGGCTCGGGGAGCCCACCGACGGTTTCCAACGGCGAAATAGAGACGGAAGGAGCGACTGCGGGGCGCTCTACTGAAGCCTGGCACCGGCGCTTTTTTTCCGGTTTTTCGTCGTCAACTGAAACAATTCAATTAAACAATGTTTATAAGCTAACGGATTTATATTTTGTATATACAAATTTTATTTTATATTTAAATAGATACACTGAACAAAAGTCCAGGCACTTTTACGTGGAAACTATTTGTTCAAAGCTCGAGACATTTTTTTTCCATATTTTTTAAGCGAAAATACACATTAATAGTATACACACGATATTTTGTATTACAAGTGCAGGCAAAGTGGCTTTGTGCGCGAGATGGCCGATCGCACGCCGCCATCTTGCGACGGCACGGTGTGTAAATAGCCGCGGTCAATTGTCCACGACTTTAGCCGTGGGCAATAACTTTGAACGCGGCTTATTCACTCACCGCGTCGCCGCTCGATGGCGGCGTGGGAAATTGGCCGCTTTTCGCACAGAAAACACGCACACAAAGTGCCACTTTGCCTGCACGTGTAATACAAATACATATTAATGTAAAAGTATGTGTAAAATGTAGGTAAAATTGCTACTTTTATGCAAAAATCACTTGTAATTTTAGATTAAGCGTTTTTGCTTTATTAGAACTTTATTTTATAAACACTTATTCAATAGAACATTATTTTATAACATTTATACATTGCTATAGCATTTCCTATGTATAATTCCATGTTCAGTGGAATATTTTCAATCTTGAATGTATGTAAGAATATATTTCATATGAAATTACATAATCTTCCAATATTGATTATGCTGGATCGCACAGTGTAATTTCACAAAAATATTTTTTTAGCGTACGAATATAATAGATAGAGACATCAATTATTTCTTTCGATAATAATTTAATAATAATTCTTATATTAAATAATAATTATTGTTGAATTTAATAATAATTATTATTCATTTATTATTATTCTTACAAAAATAATCTTTCGTAATTAATGTTCTAAAATAATATATATTTTTTGCATGTTACATTTCGCTATATTAAAAAAAATTCTACTATTCTTCTTCCGTGTGGCTGTTTATAACGAGAATCATTGAAATGCAGAGGCTTCGAAATTTTATTAATTTAGAGGGTACGTTAGAATTCATGGAACCTGACATGTCATCGAAAAGCATGGAACTGAAAAGTATGATTTGCGCGGCACGCCCACCTTAATTAACAATAATTGTCCCGGTAACTCAGCGGGGGTGCCGATCAACCTTCCATTCGAAACTGCTGTCTTTTTGTCCCTAAGGGACAAAAGTAACGAGCGCCCTTTATTCCATCGACTTTAAGAGCGCGGCCAAAGGTATCTTCCGAGATTCTTCCCTTCGATTCTCAGCCCTCAACTTATTTTTTTTTCTTTAATAGAATCGACCGACTCACATCCTGTATACTCGCGCATACATACCGATTAACAAAATAACGATCGGCTTTTTGCAGCGACAATCGATAATAAATTCGCATTATTCGCGTATATAATTTTTTTTATTTCCATACGTGATACAAAAATATATAGGAAAAATGCTTTCGTTCCAAGGGAGAGAACGCGTTGTATTTCGATAAATGCAGCCCCATTGTACGCGGGGAAAGTAAAAATATCGGTGTGCGACCCTCGGTGGGAGAAAGTAATTAGCGCGCGCGCGCGCGCTGAAGCATATATTATTCCACGATGCAGGCGCACATCGGTACATTGGAACACACTCAGGCTCTTAATACGTATTTAATTAAGTATGCCGTGGCGGGGAGAGAGAGAGAAGGGAAGAAAGCGTAGGAGAGAACGCGCGGAGAGAAGGGCGCAGACAGGGCGGGGGTGGGCGAAGGAAGGGGGAGTTTATAGTGGATATCAGTATGGGCAACCATAACTCTCGCGCCTCCGCCAGCGAGAGCAGCGTGCCACTTATACGAGGCACCTACCGCGATGGAATTTCATCCTCGCCGTTACCACATAAATCTCCGATGCATTAATGCCCTTACTGACTCCGCTCGCTCCGCGTTTCTACATGTATACCTACGGCTTCTTCTTAATATGGTTACTTAAGTTTCGCGCGTGTCGCACCGATTCATGTCCATCCGCGATTTCTATGGATCATCGAATGATAGGTCTACCCTTTTTGGCTGCACTAGTTCAGAGTTTATCTCTTTCCTTCCAATGTGGAATAAAAAAGATAAGCTCTGAACTTTTAGTTCGGCTGAAAAGAACCCTTCAGTCAATGAACGAGTATTCGGGAATCCAAAGCAACTTTAAGAAACAAAAAGAACAGACCTAATAACCCTTCAGTCAATGAACGGGTATCCGAAGCAACTTTAAAAATGTTAAACATGTATTGAAACAGAATACAGTTTCGCGTGTGTCACCTGATTCATGTCCATCCGCGATTTCTATGGATCATCGAATGATAGGTCTACCCTTTTTGGCTGCACTAGTTCAGAGTTTATCTCTTTCCTTTCAATGTGGAATAAAAAAGATAAGCTCTGAACTTTTAGTTCGGCTGAAAAGAACCCTTCAGTCAATGAACGAGTATTCGGGAATCCAAAGCAACTTTAAGAAACAAAAAGAACAGACCTAATAACCCTTCAGTCAATGAACGGGTATCCGAAGCAACTTTAAAAATGTTAAACATGTATTGAAACAGAATACAGTTTCGCGTGTGTCACCTGATTCATGTCCATCCGCGATTTCTATGGATTATCGAAGATAGGTCTACCCTTTTTGGCTGCACTAGTTCAGAGTTTATCTCCTTCCTTCTGATTTGGAGTAAAAAAATAAACTCTGAACTTTTAGTTCGGCTGAAAAGAACAGACCTAATAAACTCTTCAGTCAATGAACGAGTATTCGGAATCCAAAGCAACTTTAAAAAACAGAATACACTTTTGTGCGTGTCGCCTCGATTCATGTCCGCGATTTCTATGGATTATCGAATTATAGATCTGCCCTTTTTGGCTGTACTAGTTCAGAGTTTATCTCCTTCCTTCTGATGTGGAGCAAAAAGATAAACTCTGAACTATTGTGAAAAACTATTATGAAAAAAATGTCAAAGTTCGTACCTAAAAATTCTATACATTGATGGAAGGGTGAAAAATAATCCCCGGAGAATTAATCTCCTTAATGTCGAAAGATCGAGACAATAGTCACACATTTTCCGAGAATAATGACTGTACCAATATTCTTGCCGGTGCGATGACGAGTAAATTGGAAACAAAACACTTCTCCGTCGATCGATTCGGCACAAGATCGGTCCTATTGTAATCGATTTAATTTCAAGCACAGACCCCTCTCAATTCGTTCGTTATCAGCGCGCTCCCACGCCGTTTACGAGGCCTGACCTCTCCGGAGACACTGGCTGCTTCTCGCGGAAGCGCGATAGCCGAACGATAACAAGATGATAACGAGGGAATACACCGGTAATTACCGGAATGATAATGACGAGGAGAACGACGAAAGCGCGTGGGTGGAGAAGTAGAGGGAGGGAGGGAGAAAGGCAAAAGAGGAGGGCGATCGACTGTGATAGGGATAATTAACGATCGCAATCGTACGAAAATGAGGACAGGGCGAGTGCGACGACGACGATAACGAGCGGTCCAGCGATCTTATTAGCGATAAGCGCCGATAACGAGGACGCCCCGTTCAGTACGACAGCGAACGGAAAGAAAGTCGGCCTAAGGATTAATGGCGACCCTCAGCTCACGGGGGAGGAATGTTGCATTCCGATGAATGGAACGTGAATCTCTCTTCTTCATCGCGGCTTGCTCTCTTCAATCGATTTTCAAGGACATGATATATACAGGATGTATTTAAATGAGTGCGAGACACTTTAGATGATTCTTTGTCGAAAATTAAGACGGTTTCTTATAGAGACATATACTCTTATATATCTCTCCCGGAGGAGTTACACTTTTTTAAAGGAAATAAAAATTATTGATTTTACGAAAAAAGACATGAGAAAGTTTCTAAAGAAATTCCTTCTAACGCATGTTTTTAGATGATCATATTCCGGTCTGTTAAAAAGTTCTGATAAAAAATTAAATAAGGGTTGTTAGTTTCATCCCCTTGTAACGATACGGGAAGATAAAAAAATTAATAAATATCCTTTTAATTTTTTCCTTCTCAGGAAGGGCGATAAGAGAGAGTATATATATTTGTATAAAAACTCCCCTTAATTTTCGATAAAGAATCATCTCTTAAAATTTTTCACTTATTTAAATACACCCTCTATATTTGACATGTGAATCGAGTGTGAAAATTAATGTTAAAACAGTATAAAATATAAAACGGTACAAGACGAATTAATTATAAGAAGAAAAGTTTAATCGAAGAAGAAGTTGGACGAAATCCTCTTTTTCGTCGAAGAGAATTTTTTTTCGATCGGCGGTTTACGCCACCCGCATCCGAATTGAATTTAAATATTTCTTGGACACGGACGAACTCTCTTTCGCGAATTGCCGAGTCGTAAAAAAAAAAGAGTCCTCCTCGCCCACAATTCGTCCTCTCCCTATATATCGTGCGATCGCATCCTCGCGAAATTGCTGTTTTGCCTGGAATCGGCGATATTACGAAATCATTGGGGACGTTATTCTTAAGAACCAATAAAATGGTGGTCTCGCGAAATTAATATTGGCGCTATTTTCATTCTTAAAGCTGTTTAATTCGCCGGGTGTCTCTTTACGATCGAAAAGGGAATACGAGCGCGCCTCAACATCCTGGCAAGTCAATCTCAAGAAACGACGCCCTTCTTCAATCTTTATGAACGATACAGTCAAATTGGAATGCCGTACTTTTTAATTCTATCCGTCATAGATCCGAAATATTCCGAGAAAAAAAAGGAGAATATTTTATCACAGCCGAACAACGACACTAAAACAATATATAATAAAATAAATAATATAATAAAATAAATTTAATGAATAATCCCGCGGACCCACGAGTACCGGAACTGATTCTGCAAGTGCGTCGTAATCAATTGACGTCGGGGAGAATTCTTAAAATTACGCGACCACTTCCGTCACGGCAAGAATGTCGGGAGAAATTTGTGTCTAGAATTCTTGGTAA